GGCGCCCTGGGTGGCTGCTGCACCGGAGCTCTGCTGGGAGCTCCTGCCCCTGTGCTGTGACACAGGGTGCGCTTGTTTCTAGTGCCAAGCTATCCCAAAATACTCAGAGAACGGGTGATGATACATACAAGACAGACATACTTTTTGAGTTTTACAGGAGTGTACGTGACACCTGTCCATGAACGTAAACCAAGGCCTATTTAGAGCAAACTCTGAGGAGCTCTTTTAGCCGCTGAGAGAGACCTCTGTACGGCTGCCGGGCTGCGGGGACCCTGGGTGCTGGTAAAGGTGTTGGTAGCGTCTTTGGGGAGTCGAGGATTGGGTGAGGGTGGAGCTGAGCGAGTTCGCACATGAGCTGGACAATTGGCTACTGGCATTCTAATTAACTTCCCTTTCGAAGGCAAATCTTAATGACTTCGATGAGTTTTTATACTGCTGTCGTAGGAGACTGTAGGCTTAAAACTGGTAAGTGACTCTAGGGGGTTTTTTCGAAACTGGATTTCTTTAAAGAAGAAAGTAAAAAGCCAGTAAAAATACTTCACTAAGAAAACAAACAGGTAAGCTCAGTGATAAGCTACTTAAAAACGCAGCCACTTGTCCAAAAATTTGAAATTCAATGTCATTTGCATTTCCAAAGCTGGGAAATGCACCAGATACCAAAAGGGACAAATAGTCTTGAATTATAAGATTCGAATAATTTTTAAAATTGCTTATTCACCCCATGTAGTAATTTTGTCCCTGGGGCATACGTGACCGGCAGCCCCTGCTCCCGACGCCTGGTGATGCGGTTAGCATAACGTGCCCTTTTCTAAGGCAAGCAGCCATTCTCTGACCGAGCGGGTCATGCGTTCTTTCCCTTTACCTCATCATCAGGCCCTGAAGCTCCTGTGAACCAAGCAGACAGACCAAGCAGATCTCTCCTTCTCCTCCGAATCACCAAGATCCCCAGGTGCCAGGCCTATTACTCCCTCCCTTGCCAGCCTTGAAGGTCCCAGGCGCCCGGCCAGCCAGGTGCTGCTTGACCCCATGGCAGAGCAGGGCAGCGTAACAGCACACGCAGCACTGTCTATAAAATGGAGTTCAAGCCCTGAGTGGGGAACCTGGACCCGATCTGCTGCTGGGCAGTGAGAACCGTAACCTCGTGGTGGCTGGGGATGCCTCTGTCCTTGTCTGCTTCCTCCGAGTGAGTGGTTCGTATGCTTTTATATGATTTCTGAGTCTAGATTATCATAGAATCATTAAGGTTGGAAAAGACCTCTGAGATCATCAAGTACAACCGCCAACCTCACACCACCACGCCTGCTATACCATGTCCTGAAGTGCCACATCTACATGTTTTTTGAACACCTCCAGGGATGGGGACCCCACCACCTCCCTGGGCAGCCTGGTCCAATTCCTGACCACTGTCTCAGTAAAGAAATGTTTCCTAATATCTAATCTAAACCACCCCTGACGCAACTTGAGGCCATTGCCTCTCGTTCCTATCAGTAGATATTTGGGAGAAGAGACCAACGCCTGCCTCACTGCACCCTCCTTTCAGGTAGTTGTAGAGAGCAATAAGGTCTCCCCTCAGCCTCCTCCAGACTGAACAGCCCCAGCTCCCTCAGCCGCGCCTCATCAGACTTGTTCTCCAGATCCCTCTCCAGCCTTGTTGCCGTGCTCTGTACACGCTCCAGCCCCTCAATGTCTTTCTTGAAGTGAGGGGCCCAAAGCTGAACACAGGACTCGAGGTGCGGCCTCACCAGTGATGAGTACAGGGGCGCGATCACCTCCCTATTGATACAGCAAACCATGTATTAAGTTCTGACCTGATCTGCAGAGGGTCCAGGTTATTAGAAATTATAAGTTGTGTTATAAATTTTGTATTATGCTACTTATAGATTGTACTATATTGATTCTGCTTGCAGAAATCCTGTGCCATTTTAATGGTAAATTCTGTGCTATGCTTATCATAATGTCCTGTTAGTGCCATCACCATTCTGTCAAAGATCCTTAGAAGAACCTGTCTGTCCCCTTAGTGTTGGGTGACAGGTGTAGTTTGAAAGAAAACGCCCCAGTAATATCTGCATTGACAGAATGTCGTCTTTGCACACCTCGGGTTGTGAGTTGGTAGAACTGTGCATTTCATCCTACAGCTCCTGTTCAAACAGCTGAGAGCCCTCTGTTCCTATTTCCAGGTGAGCTTAGGTTTACGTACAAGCAGTAGAGCGCCCATCCTACCGTCTTCAGCAATGGGACAGCCATTTTAAGTGTGGAAACTGCTACCATTCTTCCCTTGCCAGGTCAGAATAAATGAAGCAACATCAGCCGGCTGGCGGCGGTGGTTTCAGCAGACAGATGCTCATGTGTCTCGCTGTGCGGTGTGTTCTG